TGAAAGCTTATTAACTAAACATATATTATGCTTCAGAATTTAAAATATTACGGGATATTATTTACATTAATATTTTCTTATACTGTATAAAGTTTTTATTTATATGTTTTCTCCGATATTTTTCAATTTTCATTATATTACATGGTTTTCATATGTTATCGGTATACGATTATATTACCACAAAAATAGTCGAAATAAATTGTATTATATATATCAATTTATATTTTCTTCAGCTTACTCAAATGTTTCTAGCAGTTTAATAACTGAAACTGTTTCTCTATGGTAACAAAGGTCAGTGTATGGTTACAAAGGGGTTATTCGCCGTTTAGCATTTGTTTCATCCTTCATTAACAATACCATCCAACAGAAATGTCTCTTTCGCTCCTCTTGTGAATAGATGAAAAGATCCAACCGCCCATTGACATACTGTCTTAAATAAAGCACGGCCTAGTTCGCTTTCAGAGTGCGCAGTTCTCTGCCGGATCTACACTGTATCTTGAACCACAATGTCGCGGTAGACGTTTGCGGAAACCCCTTACCTTACCCTCTAAATGCCAATACGAGAAAGCTATTCGTGTGGTGTCTTTATATCACAATATAATAAAGTATGCAAATTAACGATGCCTCAAATGCCACGCTATTTATATAGAACAGCTGAAACATTTTGTCTCGTATTATTAAATAAACAAACCATTTTCTTCATTTTCATTCGAATATAACGAGTAAAAATTAATAATAAAGTAAAAATAAAACAGCAATTTTAGGAAAATACTAGTGAAATGAATCAAAACGTTTACGTCGATGAACTTATAATAAACCATACCATAGTAAGCATACCAGTACTTCTCTAACAGAATACGCTCGCGACCAATCCTCTGACACAATAGCCGTCAGAGATACGGACAATTTCAAGTGTCGGTGAACAAATACGTGCATCTATGCAAAACACGGCAATAGCTCTGTTGGAGTCGGCGTCGGCGTTCGAGAAAGCCGTGCTGGAATGTGAATACCTAGAGGCGTCGGAGCACGGTGGGTTCCGGTGAGAGCGTTGGCGCGGAAGCGGCATGGAAGAGCGCGGGCCGCCCGACGTGCCGCTGATCGTGACGCCGCCGGGTGGCTCCGGGCCGGGCGCCGCTCTCACCACCTCGCGGCGCACCGCCTCCGCGCGTGGCTCACGTGATGACGCGCCATCCACCTGGCGCTCTTCGGTGCGTGTGCGCGACACCGGTTTCCGCGGTTCGCGCAAAAGTGTCGTACGCCTAGAACCGCCCTGTAACGGCCTCAACGGGTTGCCCGCCATCGGCAAGGAGGTAAACATTTATCTCTGCCTGATATAAACGATATATATTGCAAAATTAATTTCGTTTTAAACTTATAATACCTACCGTAAGTATGAAAGATTAATTACTATTAAATGACGAGATAGAAGAAAAGTACCTCCGACAACAGTCTGCTGTTACTACTACTATCCATAAAAATCCTACTTAGTTTATAGAAATTTATAAAAACCTATATTATCTGTATATAATAAGAAACAATAAAGACCAAAAGTTTCTTTTCGACCCTCATAAAAAGTCCATAACCCAATCTGCGCTGGTAAATATTACAACACGGGCAGTCTGTGGATGTGAATGATTAATGTGGTACACATCTCGTTGACCTTTTCACAGGCACTGCAATAGCACAGGTCCAGTTTTAATTTACTCTTTTATATTTCATTAATTCTACCTAACGTTTGAAACTTTAATACAATGGAATCAGTATTAATATACATATTAATATATATATCTGTTTTAATATTAATATATATTAGTTAACTTTTATCTATGTAAATAATTTATATAATGTGTATTTATCTTTTACCTTAAAACACCGAGCGTTAGTACATCTTTAAATTTAGTATAGATTGCAATCCCTATTTATCGGAAAATTGTCTATGATCTATGAACCATTGATTGATGTATAAATCCCATAATCCATTTAAATGTACTAATGATAAATTTTAAGAGCCCTTGGTTTATGAATTTGTTCCTATTGCATGAGATTTTTATATTCCTGATATTTTTTAACTTTAATATTTTTTAACCTCAACTATACAATAAAGGAAGTGTACTGCACAGGATTATTTCCCTCCCATTTTCTTAACTCTAATAATCACTTTGTCTCAATTTGATATGTCTGTTGTATGATGAAAAGTATGATACTTACTACTTATTTTTCACTTGAATATATCATTCATTTATTTTAACAAAGAAATTAAAAAATGACAGATAGCATGACTGCCAAAGTAAGAAGCGCCATATACTCTCTGCTTTACAAATTAGTTATTATTCGGCAAAATCATTTTCACGTCGACCCGTCAAAAAGAAAATGGCGAGTCAATAAGACAGCAACATTGTTCAAAGCCCTTCCGTTCGTGATGAATCATAAATTAACGTTACATCCTTTGTCATAGCAGGTGGGCTTACTGTGACGTCATACATTTTGCATTAATTCACTGAAAATTATGGTTTTTAAATTTAGAAACAAATATTAAAACAATTATCGTTATTTCTCTTTATGTGGAAATTTTTTTAATATAAAAATATACCTAAGAATCGTATATTTTTTAAATTTTAAGTATGAATGATTACCATAATCATTATATCATAACCAATTTAAAATAATAATATTTGCAGGGTCCATCAAATAAATAAATGAATTATCATTGAAGTTTTTAATTTACGAGTATACAAGGATACAAAATATGTACCTATCTATAATATAATTCAAGTATCTACGCAACAGTCTCTCTACTAGTTGGTATACCTACGCAGCAAAAAAAAATTATTGATGAAAATGATATACAGATGTTGCTAGGTAATGTTACAAATAGTAATTGGAACAGCTAAATAACTATTCCTAAAGAAAATGCTTAAAAAATCCACTTGGTCCTTAAGAATTTTTCATTAAGAATATTTTCAATATAGCAATGCGAAATTGATCAAATATAATAAGCCAAATGAATTTTTCTTTATTAGGAAAACGAGCATTTCACAGCTAAATCATTGATACTGGTAAGTCCGTGTACAAATGATGGTGTATTAAGCTTCAAAAGCTAAATGTTAACCATCACGACTATTGTACGATACTTTTCTTTTATTTCCAGAAGGTATAAAATAGTTTACGAAAAGTAATATATATAAAACTAGCTGTGCCCGCGACTTCGTCTGCGTGGGAAGTATTTTGGTAGAATTCTTTTTTTCCTATAAATGGAGTCGAATCGAATAAGATCAATGGGCCATAACCCACTATTATTTTTAAATATTTTTAATTTTGCTCAAATACGACATTCTATGCAGTCGCAAAATCATACCGCTGTATGGAAAATTCTTCCTACTGATGCTGAGCCTCGGTTTATTTGAACAACACTTTTTATAACTGAGCAAGCATGTAATGCCGCCAGACTTGTATTCTCATATTTCAAGTATCAAGGTGTTTACAGATCTATAAACTACATCCCTCGCTGCTTACTAAGGAGTCTGTAACTTGAAACAGAATACGTTTCAATGACTGATTACTCATTTTTATTACTTTTCATTGACAAGGGACTATTTTAAAACCAGGCCCTTTTATTTTGTGGACTTTTGCAATAATTAACTCCTTTACATGCTCCTACTTACTCTGTGCCCTCGTGTAGTTTGTATTGCAGTCTTTAGTGACTGGCATATGCATCATTAGATTGTCATGAAACTTTATTTGACGAAACTTATGATGAATTATTTTTAATTTTGTAAATAGAAAATACATTTCAAAAATATTACAAGATGCATTTTTAAATATCTTTTCATGCTCTTAAAGATAAGATTTTTTTATTTTATAGCAGTCACCAAGGAAACTACAGAAGAGTTTTTATTCAATTTAAAAAAAAATGAATAAATACTATGTTATGTTCCATAAAGCAACGTTTTGTTTTTGAAAATGGTCAATGATTTGAAAAATTGAGTCCATTGTGTAAGACAAAACGCACTAACGCGAAATCTTATGAAGTTAGTTCTCGAAATTAAAATAATTTTAAACAATAAGAGCAAACCATGTCAGTGATAAATCTATGAAATACCTATAATGAATTATTGTATATAATGAAAATAATTTTAATTTGAGTATTAATAGATGTAATATAATATTTTACATGTAAAGAATATGATTGATCCATTTTTGCTTCAATCGTTTAGTAAATAGTTTTTTAAGTACTACCTCTATAATTGATCTGCATTGGTGAGCGTAATTAATTTTTATTTTTTCGCAATTTAAGTGAAAAGTAGAACGTATTACAATGCTAAAACGCATTATGACTCGTTCATAATAAAATTACCTCGTATATAATGTAACATTTTAGCCCCTTGTACGTAATAACATGTACCAGTGAGGTAAGGTAATCTACAAAACCAATATAAACAATGTAAATACTTTAACTTATTATTTCATTAGGAAATGGAATGATGAAATGAAATGAATGAAGCAGAAATATAGTAATTAACGAACCTCAAAAATGCCATTACTGATTTTTTATTTTTTATTTTATCCTTTTGTTCTGTTAGCCCAGAGATAGGAAACAATTTTAGATGAATAAATTCATTCGTATTCAGATAATTGTAGTTTTATAGAATTTTTTTATAACTACATAAAAGTTCGTATTATTTAATAATAAGTAAATTATAAATAAAAGTTAGAAAGAGAATCATCTAGGACTATTTAGACTATTTTTTAGATTTTTTGATATTATTTAATTTAACTAAAGAAACTATTGTAATATGTTGTTAAATGGATTTTAACAAAAATTTTAAATTATAGGTAGTTTTACATCACAAAGTATTTAAATAATATAATATCATCACATAAAAAACATAAAATATGTAGGACATTAAACTTTACAGTTCACTACTCACATACACTGACACAGAAAACTCTAAAAACAATTTAACGATATTTTAATATTGCTTGTGTTTGTTTGTCGATAGGTATTATCATTGGGCGCGACAGGGCCCAAAGGGACTACGCAGCCGTCACACCCCTGCACTATCCTCCACCACTCTCCTTACAAGGTAAGTTCAAATATCAAATGCGTGATGCGAAAACTGTGGACCTCATTAATGCGAATTGACTACTTGACAGGTTTTTTTTATTTAATTATCAGCACACTTTATTTTATCAGTAAACCGCTAAGATTCGTAACACATGCAAGAATTTATATAAATAACTATATGACATTACATAACGCGATTAAAATGTGTTTTAATATATTAATTACAATTATTTCGATTCAAAATTACATTTTTAACAACTCAGTAAACACTTGATCATCTTACTATTCTAAGTAAGAAAATATTTTTTTAATCGTATTTAATGTTTTTTACTACAAGTTTATCTCTAAGATCGCACGGTAGTTTATTTATCAAACGAGGTAGCATAAAATCAATAGTCCTCTCACCGTACACGTTCGCAGCTCGGCTTGTGCGTAGCCGGTTTTGTGCAATTGCACGTGTGAAACAGTGTGTTCGATTTTTTCGTTTAAGTAAGATTTAAAATAATTTTCTTTAATAAAGTATACTTGATCTTTTCAACAATTGGTAAAATTACACAATGTTTAGTAATTTGTGTTCATTTTTTTATTCAAGTTTATATATTTTAACCACGAAAGTTTCATATGTGCGTTACTTAGTCCATATTTTATTTAGCTGTCAGCTAAGGAGTTATATAACATTGTCTTATTTTAGTAGGGAATACGCCTGTTTAGGATAGTCAAATTAGCCAAAAATTGTCTTAGTTTAATGCATACCATCCAATGAGGTTTCCAATTTAATTTATTATCTATAATGACTCCTAGATATTTATGTGATTCAACAAGTTCTATAACTGGACAACAACATGGTGTCACATTCATGATCAGGGGCTATTATATTTTTATTCACGGCCGGCGTATGTTTATTATATTTTATTAGGTATGGGGGGACTTACTGTGTACTAATTTTGTTTTATTTGAGTTTAATTCAACACCTGCCTTGTAGCACCATTTGCATAAAATATAACTGAAGAACGTAATATGCCTTTGCAAGATCCTTATGAGCTACCAACAAACATGCGTCATCAGCAAATATGTAACAAGTGCTGTGCACAATGCAATTTCCCAGTTCATTAAAATATGACAGGGAATTCAATGGACCCGCAACCGATTCTTGTGCTGTGCCTTTAAATGTATCACTTTTGGAATTGGTGATTTTAACCTCGAACGTACGGTTAGTCAGATAGTCTTTGAACCATTTCAACAAAGGTTCAAGTACGCCACAAGAATCGAGATTTTTCAGCAATAGCTTGTGATCGAGTGTATCAAAAGTTCGTGAAAAATTGATAAAAAGTGCTAATACTTGTTCCCCATTATTTAAAAATTTATTTACTTGATTGGTGAACTTTGATAGTATATCTTTTGCCCCTTTTCTTGTGGAAACCAAATTGATTTTCATATATAATATTGTTTTCTCTATAAAATTTTTATATTTGGTTACATATATATTTATCGGCTATCTTGTCTATTACAGATAAGAGTGTGATTGGACGATAATTATTAAAATCATTACGTTTTCCCTTTTTATATATCGATCCAACACAACCTTTCTTAAGTTCGTCTAGGTAAGTATTGGCTTTTATGCTAGAATTGACAAGGTTTGCTACAGCCACAGACACGCCACAGATATGTCGTTTTTTACAATTTTAATATCAGTTACTCGAATGCTATCATAGCCCAGAGCTTTGGAAGAATTTAATGATTGAATAACTTTAACAATCTCAGCACTTGTAGCTTTCTTAAAACGTAAGCTTAAATTTACTGGTTTCAGATAAGTGTTTTTATTTAATAGTTTAGTTATACAAGTGGATATATTTTTATTAGCTGACTTATGGAACACTGTACCAAAACCATTTGCTATTTCCTTTGTTGTGAGACACTGTGACTCAAAAGCAAAATGACTGTTATACACAATGACTATTATATATTTTAATATTGTCTCTTTACGTGTAAAGGCCACCACCGTGACATTGGCAAAGATGTATAAACGCAAATAGAACATACATTGTAAAAGAAAAAGAATCATCTGTATTGAAATAAGAGGTCACAACTCCAAATAACGCGTGACTGTTTGACTTCGCCTAAAATAGTGGGTTAATATAATAATATGAACTTTTTATGGTATGAACTTTACTCAAAACAGTCAAGTAGCCAATTGCGAGGGTAGAAAACTATGCTTGGACAAATAAAGTTAGCCATAACCTTCCGCTTCTAAACTTTAATTATGACAACAATTCCAATACATTAAAAAAAATCGTTAAATTTTGTAATATAAAAGATTATTGTGTATTATCTGTTCTAAAGACTTTCACGATTATGAGAAATATGAAAATAATAGAACTTATATAACTATAATTAGTATGAGATAATTCTCATTACAACAAAATATATTAGGTACTTAAGCATTCGGTATTCGGCTGAATAATAATATAATATAAGTAAAGCAGCTGAATATGCCGAATACCGAATACTTACCGAATATTCTAACCATATATGGCCTACTATATTTAGTTAAATATGAATGAGTTATTTAGTTTGGAAAACAAATAAAAAATATATTGGCTTTAGTCTTTCAAATTAGTGAATTTCGAAAATTTCATTTACTGTCGATGAAACAGCAGTAAAACATACACAAAGTGTCTTTATATACTTTAAAATAGAGTTTACAAGTCTTTCAAATTTCTTAAATAATATTTTTCACATAAGTTAAAGTAATAGCCCATTAAATCGTATCTGCGAAATTTATTGTGTATCGTAACTACTGTATGGGCCCGAACTTATCAGGGATCTTAAATATATAAATTTTAGAAAAAGGTGTAATGGATATTTCTTTCCAAAATAAACTTATATCTTCTTACTCATTATGTAATTGTTAAACGTAAACGAAAGAAAAAACTGAAATGATAAAAAGCCTGTTCCTGTAGTTGTAAAGCAGCACCACGCTTCACATTAACCCCTATTAGTGATTTCAAAAAGTTGGATGACTGGATCGATTTTTTTTTACATGAATCTTCTTATAATTGTGCTTGAGTGCTTTACTAAATATATGTGGACCAAAAGGTTAGAAAATATTATAATAGGTCAATTCTCATTATAGAACTGAATCATTAAATCTTTTATAAGCCAAGTTCTAATAAATCGGGACTAACTACACAAACGATACCCTCAAGCTCAGATATTAACAAAACGCAAATGTATAGGAAGTTTAATATTACGATGTTCTTGCTTTGTAATTTGAACCCATCACTATCATTGTCATTAATTCCATGACTAAGTGTTTTGAATTTTAGTTTTGAATCTATGCTGTTTAAAAATACTTAAAACAAGCGCGTCCAATGGTAAATAAAATCTTAAATAAAATATCTTACAGTACCTGCCTTATACATAAAGTGGGATTAAATTTTTTTCTTGGCGTGGAGTATCGTTGAATAGGTCGTTGAAAAATATAACGGGGCGTGTAACGACCATCTTTCGATTCAAGGGTCTGTTTGGGAGATATTAAGCTTTTAAATGCTAATTTTTGTTAGAAACAAGTCCTTTTCCTTGCTAGCTGTATGGTTGGAACCAGATTTAAAAAAAAATGACAGTAGTATATTACCACAGCTATAATTAGACAACTAACTAATAGAATATACCTTACCACCAAAACGAATGGCATTAACTTAGCTGTTGTATTAAATGATGGAATACATAAAATAGGCTTTTTTTTGTTCTTAACAAAGCTCATATAAAATAATATAATGGTTGTTTTTTTTGTATTTATATTGGAATTTTTTGTCATTTTTTACTTAAATATATGTATTAGGCTAAAAATATACAAATAAAATGAGCACGTAATGCACGTAACCTTTTATAAGATTTATGGTAATAATTTCCTCACATACAACTATCCATTGATATTTCTAATCGATTTCAGACTACTATAACCTATAATATCTAGCATATTCAGGCATATTTTAGAATCAAATAATGATGGAGCAGAGACTGCTGACTGTTATCATTATTAAATTTTAATGCTTTTAACAATGTAGATCTCGATATTTTGTTGGAAATCTTTCGCTCTCTTAACATATCTCCGACGGAGATTCCTTGGTTTCACAGTTATCTGCAAGGACGTAGGCAGCGTGTTTGTTTGAACGATACATTCTCCTCTTGGTGTGATATCGTAGCAGGCGTCCCACAGGGCGGCGTACTATCTCCGTTACTCTTCTCTATTTTTATGAACTCAATTACCAATATTCTCCGTCGTCGTATCACCTGTATCCAGATGATCTGCAACTTTATACACAGGCTTCACTTGAAACTTTGTCTATAGCTCTCGAAAGAACAAATGATGATTTACAACATATATCTACATGGAGCGAACAATACAATCTATAATTAATTGTCGTTAAAACGCCAATCATCTTAATGGTGGCTCAAGATTAACATCTAGGATGAATTGGTCTCAACTTCCTCAACTTTATTTACAATGAAATCATATTGAGATCAGTGATACAGTTAAAGACCTCGGTGTTCTCATCGACAAGCAATTATCATGGGTACCTCAATTAGCAGAGACCAGACGGAAACTCTTCGCATCTGCTGCTTCTTTACTAAGGTTGCAAAACTATTTACCGAATGCCACGAAAATTGCGCTTGAAATTAATGAAGATCGGCTGGATAAATTAGAACGTCTCCAAAATGACTGCATTTGTTTCATTTATGGCTTACGTAAATACGATCATGGCTCAATTTACCGCAGAGAACTGAATTGGGTGCCCATTAGACTACACCAAAATTATGATATTCTACATCTTCTGTACAATATTTTGTTTATCCCTTATTATCCTCTTTGTCTTAAAGAACGATTCGTGTTCCTTCATTTATCCAACTCCAGTTTTACGCTCATCTAAAACTCTTCTGCTTGACAGGCCACATCTTCTTCTCCGTTTTATGATAAATCCTTTACAGAACAAGCAATTGAATGTGGAATGCGCTCCCGGTGTTTATCAAACCAGCTAAAACTCCCAAATCTTTTATAACCATGGTATGGGATCACTATTTTTCACTTGCTTATAGTTTCTTGAATTTCTTCTCTATATACATGTGTATGTTCGTGAGTGTTTGTGTACATAAAAATTTATTCTTATTCTTATTGCATTATATTATGTTCTCTTTCTTTGCTTCTCCTTAATTTTATATTTGCTACCTTAATTGTTTCTTCTATAAGTACATTTAAGCCACCGTATATCTGTTTTCATATACTACTGTCCATCCAAAGGAAGATCCAACCATCTGGAAAAAATTGCTTTAAGCAATTAGGCCTCCCTTGTACTACCTTCTATACTATTATCCCGATATAATATTGTGAATAATGGTGTGTATAATAAAGAATTTTTGTACCATATTGTACATATAAAATTAAATACAAATATTACTTTCGCTTTATTGTTTTAATTAGTTCTTGTTTATTTTTACCAAAGTCTGCAGTGTATATTTAATTTTAAGTAAAAAGTCTAATTAGGTGGGTACACAAATATAATATATTCAATAAGTACGTATTTTGTCGCAATGGCCTCATTTATATTGGACACGCAAAAGGGCAAAATACTTTCATTCCACACGCCACTACTAATTACTGCTATAATTAAACTCTCGTGAGTAAAATGACGATCGATTCGACGACACAAAGATTTATTTCACAGAACAGAAAAAAAAGTTTTATTATTCACTCTTATATGTAAATAATAAAAGTTACATATATTATTAAGATTATTGTAAGAATCAATGTATATGTTATCGACAGCAGGAACGAGAACAAGTTTATTCGATTAAAGATTTTTTTGCTAGAAAAATATATTTTAAAAATATTTTGACGCAACACAAAAACACAAGCCAGCAGCAACAACAATAGCAATAAAAGACAAAGTCATAGAAAATTAAAATTAAAAAACCTAGAAGATTTATTACACCGAATCCGTGTACAAAATATCAAATTCATGGTCGCCTTAATCTTTCTATGAGAATCTATTCTGTGCCTTCAGATTCATTTTGACGTTTGAAGCCCTTGATTTTAATTTATTGTTGTAAAGCCATAATTCATACATCAAGCTAAATTGATTCCTAACACAAAATTTTACGTGGGAACTCCAACTTCAATACAAAAATTATCAGTCTATTAATTTCCCCCCTGATCATAGGTATTCCCTATGATTGATGATTTAAGAGTTCCAGAAAAGCACATGATAATACTAACGACTGCAGGAAAGCACGTCATAATACTATCTGGTCACCCATCCAACGACCGGCTCTTGTTGTTAGCCTCCGCATTGCAGATCGAAACGCACTTATTGGCACACTACGCCACCGGGAAAGTTATTTGAGAGCATTAAATTAGAATTTATTGATAAATTTAAAATCAATTATATACGCGATAAACTGGCCGTGTTCCTGCTGTGGATGAAATTATTTCAGTTTCACATTGATTTATTTGCATAAATATGGTATATATAAGTTTCACATGTGCGACCTTTGCAGCGATTACCTAAATTTGTTCAATTAACTTTTAAGTTTCCTTCATAATATATTATGGTTAAATTCATTCGGATACATGCCTCAGATTATATACTATAACCTAGCTAGTCAGTTATATACGCTAGGAAAACTGAGCAAAGCGATGACTTTGCTACGCATTTGTTTTATATCATGCATGACACACAATAATATCACCACTTTAAAAAATCCACTTCAAAGTCTACAAAGGAATATGACATTGTTTGCAGAAGTTAAAACGTCTATTATGTTACGATGTGTCCTCAGAATGTGAAAAATAATATATAAATTTGTCATTTGCCAACATATAAAGTTTTAAATAAAACCGACTCAAAGCAGAATAAATAGACGTAGCTATGTCGAGTGAAAATAGTTAAAAGAAATGTTTTATATTTTCAGGCCGCTTGGGATTGGTTGATCCTTATCCTCGTGATATATACTGCTATATTCACACCATACGTCGCCGCTTTTCAACTCAACGAGCCTGATTTCGACAAGCGTTCGCGCAGCTTTGGCGAAGACCCTATTGTCGTCATTGATATGATAGGTATTGTACTTTATAAACTCAATTAATTAGTAGTCACCTGAGCTCGTATTATATTTTCTGTAATAAACAAACACTTGTAAAATAAATAAGGTAATGTATGCCTATTAAGGGCCTACTGTATGTGATTACTAAAGAACAAAAAAAAAAAAATCTGAAATAGGATTAAATGTAATTTTTACATATTTACTGTACAGTTGATGCAGGACTATAATTAAAACTTTTTTAATTGGTTTTTATCCACATATATATTCATGATCATCTAAAAAAAGCAATCAATTAAAACTTGCTCTATAACGAGAGATAGCGATCTTGCGCAAGATGCTAAGCAGCTTTTCCGTCGTCCTATTCTTATATCCTAACAAAAGGGTGTTCTGAACGACAGAAAAGAAAAGGACGAAAATATACGACCAGGTGCAGTTACCTTTATACTTTATTTATATACTGGTTTATAGAAAAAGGTGGGTTTTTAAGTTAAAATAAAAGAAAAAAAATGCAAAATGAATAAATATTTAAGGGCGGGTCGATTTACACATTGTCGGAAAAAATCATAAGTCGAGAACTATAAAAGAAATTATAATACGATAATGACTTCAATAGCTGAGTGGCTATTGATTGTCATGTTGTCGCCATCTTGGAGATCCCGGGTTCAATTCTGAAAGGTTTGGATCAATTTAGAAAATGTACTTGACTGTATTGTAGGACTATTTGGTCTTGTGGCATCTTCGTTGTTTTAGATATTCATAATTAAAATTTCTAGATGCTTATTTCATTTAGCACCTGAACAATTTAAGTGATGTATTGTAATATTTATTTATTAATATATCCAGACCCTCAGATCTCGAGGATTAAAAAAAATTATGGACGAATTAATCGAATGTTTTATTTTCAGTCGACGTGACCTTCATAATCGACATCCTGATAAACTTTCGTACGACATATGTGAACGCTGCGGACGAAGTTGAATCGGATCCAGCTAAGATCGCGCTACATTACCTGCGCGGCTGGTTCGTGATCGACCTCGTCGCTGCCATCCCCTTCGACCTACTGCTCTTCGGCACTGACACTGATGAAGTGAGCTGCTTTTACTCCTACCATCTACCATTCGATCTCATCTCACATACACGTCCTAACCTAGAGTTAGACTATTCAATTAACGCCTTATTATTAGAGTAATAGACACCAGACGATCAATTGTCCGAAACTAGTATTCCTCCGAACCAAAAGTGGAATTGTAATACGAATTTATTTAATAATTACTATTTAACTAAATTATGACTATCAGATCCCAAATTAGTTAAAAAGATTAGGTTTACGAAGCGCAACACAAAGCATACTTTAAAAAATTTACTAGGTGAGGAAAGTATTTAATAAAATGTTGGTATTCTATGATTCAATAGTAACTCTTATTTCATATCAGAATATTACAGTTCGGGACCTAAAAAATAAATTTCGGACAAATGTACCTCTGGCCATTTAGTGATTCACTTTTAACTTCACTATATAGTGGAATGCATTTATTGCAAATCACGATAGAGCCAGAGTACCGCTATCAAAATTTTCACTATAAGGCGTTTTAACAAAATATTAAGTTATTTATTATTTGATTTAATAAAAAAATTTACAATCGAAATGAATAAATTTCACATCATTGTTTTTCGTTGATCATATCAATTGCTATTTTTATTTGTTAAATTACTTATCATTGATTATTATAATTACCTAATTATTTTCCTAAAACAACATGTGTTATTTATTATTTATTTTAAATAATCACGGTATGGAAAGCCCGAAGGTGGGTGCGTATTGAATCTTTTATAACATTTCTTGTTACAGCAGGGGCTGGAAAGTGATGAGGTATACCATCTTTGTGAACTATTTTTATGTTGCTGCCACTCGATTTTCTTACATTTTAGTTGACATATTTATCGATTAATTTCCACTAGCCATTTTCAACCCACTGAGCGAATGCGTTAATGGAAGATAAAGACGCTTCCCATAAGCAAAATGTTATGATCATATTCAGATTAACTACACAGTGCAGATCATCTAAGAAGCCCACTGCCATGTTATCACGAGCTTGTACGCCCGAAGATCAAAACTAAACTGCGACATCAGTATCATTTATAAAAATTAGCCGACAATTGTAAACGTAGAGATATTTTGATCCGTAGCTCTATGCCATAGATATGGAAATATTATGATTGGACTTTGTGTTCCATTTAGCACGAATAACGTAGCTAGCTTTTAAAGTTAGAAATACAGACGCAAACTGCCAATCAACATTTATTACAGTATCCTTAGTAAAGTATTTTTAAGCTTTACAACTTTCATTCCCTAAGAACTACGTATATAAAGTATTTTGAATGGTAATTTTAGATAATTTTTAGATTTCAAAACTATGTATTGATTTGTGGTACTAATGGGTATATTAATAAGAATGAAATATAGATATTGGTTACCTAAAACGGGACATTTCATTGGCTTTTCATAGCAAAAGTGCAATAATCACGAAGTGCACATTACAGCTTCTTAGCAAATACGCTCACACTTCCCAGACAATTTATTGTTTACATATTACTAAATGGATATACTATGTTTAGTGTTTTTCACGACATCTCGCACAGAGTTATATTGTCCCGAACATGTTACAACATTATATGTTGGATTTATAGCACCCACCTTACATAAAAACAAAGTTTAAAACTCATTTAAATGTATCCAAACAGACAATCATTCAACTCATTGTTATTACCTATCAATAATGTTTGTAATATAAAGAAACACCGAAACGTGTTACTGCATTATTTTAATTTATCGTTACATAATAATCTGTTGTTTTTGTTTGAAATAAATTATTTTTTAAATACTTATCTCTTTTTTGTTTTACTCATCATCCAACCTTTTCTACCGTTTTTCATTGTTGAAGTACTTGTAAACATTAAATCATATCAAAAACGACAAGATTCAAACATACGAGTGTTAAAATAAGATATATTATTTTGTTACTCTAATTAATTCTCTCATAATGTACAGAATTTCAACGAAATTTCTCTTCACTAATTAATTTAAATTTTATGAGTGAAGGCAAACCTTTTTTTACGTATAATTGTATATAAATCGTATATATCTAACTTTAACTTTATCTCCGCCATATTTGCTAGCAAATGCATCCGAAAGTATAAACTTTTCAAATTTTTAAACAAACAATAAAACTGTTTGTAACTGTCGTTGAATTGGCAGACTATTTCAAATAACTTACCCACATATTACGTTTTTGTCTCAAAATAGTATGAAATACTCAAATCACAGAAATTATATTGTGACAGCTAATTGCAAACGTAATATTATGTTAAGATTTATAAGTCTTGTTACTAGACAAAATATAAAAGTAATCTCGTAATAATAAAATAATTGTTCTGTGTTTTCGAGATGTGTGTGATGGAATAGTAATTTGTAAACAAACTACTAGTATCAAAATAATATTTTTTGTTTAATACGGAACTATACGATACCTAGTTTGCCGATTGATGTATTATTTCTGATTAAAAAAATGAATTTAGTGTGATTAGGTACGTAAGTAAAGATTTTCATCTATAATGCAGTTAACTCTACTGACAACTCTTACAAGATAATTACTATTTGTGCTTATTATAATCATGTTATACTTTCTAATGAAGATTTTCAACCAGGTAATATTTTAAGTCCTTTTTCATTGGCTTATGCACAGTGTGTTTTCAAAATTGATCACGGCTCTGATTGTAACTGTCCTTATTATTAAAATAATTGTACATACCATATTTTTTCGTCTCAACATACCACAACCTTGACTTAAGAAATACGAAAGGAATTACGATTGTCGCCAAATTAAATTGATTAATATAACCTTTGCAAAAAATACCAAAACCAGTTTTAGAATTTACATACAATTATGCACCGCATTCTCTAAGAAGCCAGCTAACATTATAGTTTTCCAATAATCGCTTGTAATACTAATCGCCAAGTCTATCTCAGTTTGGTTGAGCTCTGAAGCATATTTTATAGGCAACTTTTGCTTGGTTAGCGTGGTTTTCGTTATGAAGCCTCGTTGATGCTATTTTAGTATTTAAGCGAACGAATCATAAACCGCTTGAGTTGCCACTAAGTTGCGCTGTTGCTGTTGGGGCGGAGCGTTCTGAGCAGTGCTTGTGGTGGTTGCAGACGACAACACTCATCGGCCTCCTGAAGACCGCGCGCCTGCTGCGGCTCGTACGTGTCGCACGAAAAATTGACCGATACTCTGAATATGGCACTGCTGTCCTCCTACTCCTTATGGCCACGTTTGTGCTCATTGCACACTGGCTCGCATGCTTGTGGTAAGATTTTATAACATCAATAATTATAACCAAACTTTTTCAAGTACATCAAAATAATCATCATTTGTTTTATAATTACAGGTACGCTATTGGAAGCTGGGAACGACCTCAATTACATGCTCCCATTGGATGGTTGGACGCGCTCGCGAATGATGTTCAGGCATCGTATGATAATTCCACGGGTCCCTCCATGAGGTAAGAAGGGTGAATGTTGAAACTAATTTATTGTTTTTATTATTATTGAGCTGTATTAATTTATCAGTGCCTGTACGTTAAGAAAACTTGGCCACAAAATCTCATTAATTAAATATTTAATACGAATATGTCAAATACTCAGTAACGAATATGTGAAATATAATATTAGTTAAGTGAAAAACAGAACTTTAAAATTGTAATTATCGTTAATTCAAAAATTAGTAGTTTCAATTTTTGAAATCTTTTTGAAACTTACTTTAAATATGTATGTAAAAATTTGCTTTGCTGTTACAAATACAACGTCCAACACAGAGCTGTCACAGTGTTATAGGCTCAATCAAATAAAACATTTATTATTTTAGAAGTTGGTTCTGTGATTAAACTACTAAATGCTATGACAACTCTATGTTCAACGCTGTTCTGCAGATCCTATGAAAATAATTGTTAATATATTCATTTTATTATCATTATCTTTTAGATCTCGCTACATCACTGCCTTGTATTTTACGTGCACATCGTTAACAAGCGTTGGATTCGGCAATGTCGCACCCAACACTGACATGGAAAAAGGATTTACGATATTTGTAATGCTCGTAGGATGTCAGTACCATTTCTATTAGCTGCTCGTTTAATTTATACATATAACACATTATTATAACTGCTAAAACTTTTTATCCAGCTCTCATGTATGCCAGTATCTTCGGTAATGTATCAGCGATAATACAACGATTGTATTCCGGAACAGCTAGATATCACACACAAATTCTAAGAGTTCGTGAATTCATCAGGTTTCACCAGGTAGGATTTTCAAAATCTAAGTTCATATAAGATCTGTGGTTACTGATAAGTAAGTATATTTTTAAGAATTTTCATTTTCTTTAATCAATGTATATATCCTACAGATTGCAAATCCTCTTCGTCAACGATTAGAAGAATATTTCCAACATGCTTGGAGCTACACGAACGGCATTGATACGTCTAGCGTTTTGAAGGGCTTCCCTGAGTGTTTGCAGGCTGATATCTGCTTACATCTCAACCGTAATTTATTAGCAAACTGCTCTGCTTTCGAAGGAGCTAGTCCTGGTTGCCTCAGGTAAATATATTTCTTCTAAATAAAAAAATTTCTTCGATATAATGTTAACAAATTAACAAATCTTATGCTCCTTTAATTGCCATGTTTGTTCCAGGGCTCTTTCATTGAGATTTAAAACAACCCACGCACCCCCTGGTGAAACGTTAGTTCATCGTGGAGATGTTCTCACTTCCTTGTATTTTATATCCCGAGGCTCAATTGAAATTCTCAAAGACGACATTGTTATGGCTATTTTGGGTAAGAATAAAATTTATGGTGTATGATATGACATATTTGAGGAAAGATGGTGCGTTGGTCTAATGGTTGAAATTTTAATAGGGAAGGACGATATTTTTGGCGAGAACCCGTGCGTGTATCCTACAGTGGGCCGCAGCAACTGTCGTGTGCGAGCGCTCACCTACTGCGACCTACACCGCGTTCATCGAGATGATCTCCTTGACGTATTAGACTTCTATCCAGAGTTCCGCGCCTCTTTTGTCAACAACCTGGAAATCACCTACAATATGCGTGATGTTAGTATATAATTATTTTAATTATCTACTGTCTTCAAGTCACGAGGTCAACTTAGTTCAGTATCTACTCATTTTTTACACAAGTGTGTCATAAACGACGATATATACCTCCTCAGAATAAAAGGTATCCTCGGTGGCCTAGTGACTTGCATACCGATTTCAAGATATCGCCACCTCTGAGGCTCAATATAGAAAATTCACTTTTAGAAAATTCACTTGTCTCGTGTCAGGGTGTTATATTACTTTCGTTGTTTCAAATTTCCATAATACAAGCTACTATATTTGGCATCTGAGCAAAATATATGATGTTGCCTAATATTTATAACTGTTTCTCCGGATATTTGTCTTTTCATTTTATATCGTGTAAAATGCAGAGTATATCCTTGTTATTCTTTTGACGTAGGAGGAACTCAGCGGTATAGAACCACGTCGGCGTATGAAATACGAAAACCCTTCCGACGCTCGTCTGTTGCGTGAAGCTTACGCGCGTACTACACGACGGCCACATACAGAAACATTTGCTGAGAAAGTGGTATGGGCAATGCTATTAATATAACAATAGCAATGAATAAAACCAAACCTTCGCAAACAGAATCAAATCAGCAATCCCACAACAAATCAGCAAACTTTAAGGCAACACAAAGTTAGACATCAAATCATGTTCGCCAAATGTTTGAGCTAAGATTCGTTACGTGCCAGTGATAAAATAATGCATATGTCACAACCAAGTGGTATACTCAGCCGACCAATTAGGCGGCTAGCGGC